TTATAGGCAAAGAAACATTCAGCCTTTTGTCATGGAGGAACCTGTGTGGCTGTCCACTCACTGAGTGACCTGGCCCACCAATCAAGCATTCAGGGGTGAGGGTATATGGTTAAAGGGTGAGGGAGTCTGGAGGAGAGGGGGCTAAAGACTTTCGCATAAGCATGGAGGCTCAATCTGCTGGGATTGCTCTGCACAGTCAGGGGCCACTGCAGGCTTATACCAGGGGTCTTTATTTCGGGGGCCTTGCACTTTTTAACACAATTACTACGCCACCCTTCTGTCCTGATCGGCTTGTCTTATTCATATGTATAAGTTGCTCTCGGGGCTGCAGAGTTTCCAGATGCATGACCCTCTGAATGGGTAAACTAATTTGGGGAGTAGTCCTGACCACAAACCAGAGAGAAGAATACTGAACCTTGGAATGCTGCAAAGAAAAAAAAAGTGTGACTAATTAAAAAGGGTGCCTTTCCTGGCAGCAGAAAGTGGTGAAACAGTTCCACAGAGGGTTACAGTTCAAGCATAGAGTCCTCTTATATCTTAAAGTGCTGTTGTAAAGCCATTAGCTGATGAAGCTGGATGAAACGCAAAGACACCAGGGGTCTTCAGATCGTCAAACCAGCACTAGTTTGGGTTTATTTTCAATTAAGCATATTTATGTCCTTAGAAGTCCTGGAATTCAAGCCCCCACCCCCTTAATTTCCAGTTACAGATGCCCACACCTGCCTCTGCTACTTTTGCCGTATTTTCCCGTATGACACTTATGTCAATGCTACATACAGGAAAAAGGTGCTGTGAGTGAATGTAAACAGCGGGGGAGGGGGATGTACAGTATATTTATGAACATGTTTACCTGTGTAACTTTGGACCAGGTTTCCTTTAACAGCTCCACAGGCAGACTGAGGAGCAGACAGTGTTTCATTAGTGATTCCTGTAATGTCAATAAAGTTGAGATGGTTAACAGGAAGAGTGTGGGATGGAGCTGGGGGTAAGTGGGGGCAGGGGGCGCCAACCCAAGGCCACGGAAAGTGTTGAGGATGGCTGCAGATGATGATGATGATGATGATGTCATCACTTATCTGCTGACAGAATGTGATATATGCCCCTTAAGATAAAACCCAATGTTAAAATATACTGTTAGATATCAATATACATTCATACTAAATACGTATGTCACAATAAATTTTAAGCACTAACAATACCTGGTGGTAAATTTAATTTAATTTTCTTGGTAAGTGTGTTACTTTAGGATGAATACAACTCAACTAAAATGTACAATACTACTTATAATTACATTGATGGATATATGTGGTCAGAGCAAATACGGATGGACTCAATTTGGGTTTGGGTTTGAGAAATTGATCTAAATGGGACTTATTGCGTGGCTCACATGTCAATACCAACTTCTCTTTTCCCACGTCAACAGCTGACACGAGTCCTACAAAAAGCATTCCGTGATTCCCAAACAGAAATACTAGCTCGCTTATGTGTTCCAAGGTGAAAATCGTGAGTACACAGCGCCATCTGCGGGGCCATATGCGAAAACGCTAGACTGGGTGCGTTATTGTATTAGTCTGTGCACTAGAGTGCAGTGTTGTACTTCTATGTAATGCATAGCCTCGTCCTCTGCTACAGCAGATGATACAAACTGTAAACAAACGTAATTGTACAGAGTTCAAACTATTCTACTGCCGTTGTTTTATTGATACAGTTGATCTGAGATTCCCTTTATACTCACCCGTTCCACCATCTTTAAATAATCACATCAACCATCAGTTGTATTACTGCCTTCCAGTCTTACAGCGAATAATCAATTTCCCTGTAATTGTGTTACTTATTGATGATTTCTGACCAGAAATGAATCGTTTACAGTTACTGTGCTGTTTCTAGCAAGAAGAAAAAATATAAAAAAAGAACTACCACATCAGTCCAGCACGTCACATGGAGAGATTCTGTTTCTGTTATTCCCCAAAATAGTCGTTTCTATTGTGGCATTCAAGCCTAATTCTGAAGTTGCATTGTGTTTCATTCCCTAAATCTATTTGGTTGGATGACAAGAACATATTAACCTTTAGAAAAGGCTGGTCTTGTCTTGTGTAAAGTCCCTACACCCTATCTCTCTGTTTTAAGAAAGGTCATGGGCTAAATGAAATGCCTCTGGGCCAACAGTGTGACCCACATACATATATACTTCAAACACACACATTTTTGATTAAAAAAAACAACAACAAGAAGAATGTTATGTATGCACATATCACAGTAAGGCATTTTTACAGCTTTTGACAAAATGTCCTTGAAATCTGCACACCATTGTTCACCAGGCTGTGCCTGAGTGGAATGCATTTTATAAACTATTTCAAAACTTTGATGGAGAATTTGAAGGTACGTCATTAAAATTCCTGGGGTCATAGCTGACAACCTTTATATTTATATGTATATTTATACGTATAAAAGTCCCTGAACATGGTGCTGGGGTAAGACAGTTAATAAATTATGATTTCCTTTGTACCCCAAGGCTAACACTCTGTGAGTGAAACCTCAGATGACTCTGACTAGAAGAACCTCTCTGGGTCCTCTCACTCTATTCATTATGGAAAAGCATGTTACTGTGCATCAGGTCATGACATATAATAGTTTGCATTCAAACAAAATACAGCAGAGAGACACCACGCACCATCATTTGGCCTTGGCCACAGTTTTGCTTTGTTTTCTTTAAAGCTATCGTTGCTACAAAAGCCCCACAAGAGTGATGGAAGTGCAGCGTAAATGCTCATATCCTTTTATGCTACTGTGTAATCATAGAGGTTTGCTGTATTGATTGGTCTGCAGGATGCTTATAGCCGGAGTCTAAGATGAAAACTCCTCAAACAGAGACCGCCATGATGGACTCTGATGCTGTTCATTGATTTCTGTCCGACAGCTGCTGACAGACCTCCTCTTTTCAACACTCTTTTCGGCCTTACAAGAAAAACCTGTGCGTCTTCGTACACATTATCGGTGTGTTTCAGAAATTTTAGACGTTTTCTTCCTTGCATACCAATTTTCAGTGGTGGAGCAGGAGTTTGACATTTAGGCCTCTTTCACGTGCTATACATTCAAAGAGGAGCCAATGGGCTTGAAAATGAGCAGAGAGGGAGGAAGAAAAGAAAGATTGATCACCCAGTGGAGCTGGGAGAATTAATGACCTTGGAGAAAGTCATCCATCCATGGTGACAGGCTCTGGGAGTAAACATTTCTCTGATATAGGTATGTGTGTTCAATGTCAGCGAAGAAGTTTTGATTAAATCTTAATTAACACTTTCACAGGGGAATGCCATAAGAATACAACAAATACACACAAATAGTTAATTAAAACAAGGTAATCTTTTAGAGCTATGTTCTTAATTAAATAATTGAAGGATAAGATATTTTCTTTGTAAAAATGTTTGATTTTTTTAAAAAAGAAATTGGCAAATTTGCATTAAATGCAGGAAGAAATATCAACACATCTAGTCTTTCCTAACAACTATTGTAAACCTAATCAACTATTTTGAGTGGTCCTTTTACAAAGTTAAAAAAAATCCTTAAACAAATTATTATTTCTTTTTAATCCTTTTACTGCATGGCTCGTTTTGTCATATGATTTGGGCCTTTACACTTGACAGGGGCAAGTCAGGGCAAGTCCCAGGCTTTGGTGTAATAGTTGGGAACACATGTGGCATCACAACACCACATAGTGGTCACAGTAGGTGCTACAAATGAATATATTTCCTGTTTATTGTTGCTCTGTATCTTAATGTTTTGAGATATTTGAGATTTATGCACGCCCCTGCGTTGAACAATCAAAAACGTTTGAAATGAAACTCAGACTATTCAGAGCAATAACCTAGAAGAGTCAGTAATGTTATGGGTCACATTCTTGTGAAATCCAGGCCTGATTAAAGCCCTGGTTTGTATTCCCATTGAAGCCTTTGTATTTTGATTATATTCTAAAATGTGATGTCAGTGTAAAAGTAATTTATTTTGTTTACTATTTCTCCATTATAGCTGGAGGCATGCCTACTACTCTCTGAAGGTCCAAGTGACATTTTACAGTCTTTTGCCTCTGAGGACTAAGGCCTGGCAAGGGGCCTATTGTCCACATGAGCCATTGACCACTGCTGGGTCAGCAATGGTCCAACTGTCCATATGATGTGGTCTGATAAACAAGATGCCATATGGACTCAGAGGCATTATGGTGAATGGAGTCCTATACTCAGTACAGTCAAAAAATATCTCAGCCTCAACACTTACACTTCTGCACGTTTCTAAGTATTTAGGATCCAATGTCACACAATGTCGTTGTTTAACATAGAATTTGTATACTTATAAATTTACGCGGAGCATGCGCGCGCCCGGCGCATCAGATAAACTACAAGTCCCAGTGTGACGTGTGAAAAAACAAATCCCCCGCGATGCGCTGCCTTCACCGTCCTGTCAGATAGATAGAAATTGAAGGGAAGATACAAATCTGCTTTGAAAACATCAGAGATATATGAGTATGTGCTCATAAAAAATTATTATTTAATAATAATACTACAATTATTTAAACATGAAAGTCTTCCCGCCATTAGTTTCTGCCAAGCTTCACATACAAAGAAGGAAAGGAGGAGAGATAAAGAATTTGATAAAAGATACGAAAGGTAAAAGGATAAGATAAAATGACAAGGCAAGGCAAAAAGACCTTAAGGTACACTGTGTAGTAAATACTTTTTGGCGACCACAAAACACAGTGGGCATCGTTTATCCACTGTGTTTTTATTTTTAAGCAGGTCGGCCCAAAACGGAAGCTAAATGCAGAATCTTTCTTTATAATGTAAATCAAGAAATGCTAAAAAAAATAAATATGTGATTCACGCGTTTACACAAATAAAATTATTTTATATGATATATATTATACTTAAAGGCAATAGTGAATGTCATTTAGTGAATTTCAGACATGCCAGGTGAAATGGAGCAACAATATATGTGTAGCCTGGTCTGGTCTACAACTAATTAAAAAAACATTATGTGTTTATAATGTAAGTGTTGCGGAAAATTCAAACGCTTCCTGACTTTAATACAATGTGTTTTACAGTGGACAACTCAGACAGTAAATTTTTAGTAATCTCCTTTCCGACTGTTCTGAAGGCACCATGAGTCCAGCCGAAAGAGCAGCAACCATCCGCATCAACCAGCGTTCATTCAGTGAGTGGTCGCTACGTGGAGAACAACAGGCTACCTCCGTCAGTCCTGTGTGAGTGTCTCGTCTTTTTCTCCTTTTTAAACATCTGTCGTTCATTGATTTCAGGCAGAAATTTAATGTTGTCAAATTTTGCAAAGGTCTGGTGTGGAATCAATGCTGTATTTATTCCTAAAGTAATGACTTAGACGTGTACGGACAGCGTGCTCTTTTGTTCTCTAGCTGTATTTTTTAACGTTTGGACAAAAGAAAACCCGCTGTTAGAAATCTGTATTTTTGACATTTTTGTGTTTGGTTTTATCTCGTGAAGGTTTGCACATTTCTTTCTTTTCTTGACGAGGTCGAATGCATGCATTAGAAGTGGAGAAACTGATTTGTTTCTTTGTGTGTCAAGTGTTTGTAATCAATCTGAAAGTGTGACGTTTGTTTTGATTTAATCGTTTTTGTTTGTTTTTTTTCGTATAGGATGCTGCAAAGCTATGGGACAAAAGTAAACAAAAAAAAAAAAAAAAACAAGCTTGCTTTGTGACAAAGAGCCATAAAAACAACAACATGGGATCTTAAGGAGAACTTGCTCCCTTATCTTTATTATTTATTTGAGTACTTTGAACTTTGAATATTTATAGTAAATTATTACAGACCGTGTTAGAAACTGGTACATGAGGAAAGGTGATGTTCTTGTTTGCTGAGTTAAGTCACCACTATTGTGCTGTAGTGGCTTTGGAGGAAAATATGTCCCTGATGCTGTGCTGTGATAGAGATACCCTGTGACAGACCAACGCTGCTGTCAATACAAAAATGGAGAACAAAACATGCACATAACCAAAGGCAGTTGTTCCCCCCAAGTCCTTCAACCAGGGCGGTCTGTGCTCCTGCACCCAGCCCTGCAGCATCTCTGCCTTTGTGTCCTCACCTGGCACTAGTCATCGACTGACCCGAGATACTAGCTTAACCATGACTTCATCCGACCATGATGAAACGGGGAGCGACTTGTCTGAGTGTCTGGAAATCCGTGAGCTCCAGGACCAGTACACGGACCCAGAGAACTCTTTTAAATCCAAAAGCTTACCTATCCTGAATGGACCTTGTCAGCCAGAATGCAAGGGTGGGGAGCATCGACTGGTCAACACAACCCACACCTGTGTGGCCGTCGATGAGTGCGAAATGCTTCAGCCAAAAACCCCAGACTCGAGCCAAGCAGATTCCCCTTCGTCCAGACCAGATTTCTCTCCCTCAGACTCTAGCATGGTGGGGCTCAGCAGCTCTATGCCCGTGGAGGGTCACAGACCCGGTGCCTCTGGGGGAAACAAGCTTGGGTTTTCTCTCTCTCGCCTTATACACATCCCAGCTAGAAAGTATGTGCGAGTCATTCTTAGGGACTCTCGCTGCTTCCTGTTCTGCATGTGCTACCTGACCTTCATACAGTCCCTGATGGTGTCAGGCTACCTGAGCAGTGTTATCACCACCATTGAGAAGCGCTACAGTCTTCGCAGCTCAGAGTCCGGCCTGCTTGTCAGCTGTTTCGACATCGGCAGCTTGCTGGTGGTGGTCTTCATCTCTTACTTTGGTGGCAGAGGTCAGAGACCGCGCTGGCTGGCTGTGGGTGGTGTGGTCATCGCTGTAGGGGCAGGGTTGTTTTCTCTGCCCCACTTCATCTCACCACCGTATCAGATCCAGGAGATGAACTCATCCACTGGTCATGAAGGTCTCTGTCAGAGCAGTAACAGCAGTGGACGAGAACTGCTGGATGTTGCATCTTGCCCTCGTGACCTGGAGGGCAACGATCACAACCTGTACGTGGCTCTTTTTATCTGCGCCCAGATACTCATAGGCATGGGCTCGACGCCGATCTACACGCTGGGGCCCACTTACCTCGACGACAATGTGAAGAAAGAAAATGCATCTCTTTACCTGGGTATGTCAAATAATCACACAATAACAATAACACATGAAAGTTTATTTCAGGTACTCTGAGAAATTATTTTTGCTTGCAATATTTACACAAGAGTTATAATATGAAGCCAGATCACACTCTGCTTTTTATTTTCAAGTGCTCTCATTAGTCATGTACAATACTGTGGTATAATGAAAGTTTTCTATATTCCCAAATGAAATGATTGCATTTTAATGAAACATTTATTTTGCAATTTTACATTAATGTTTGTGCCTTTTCCATTATCAAGAAGACACGTGTTTGTACTATATTTATATATGTTTATACCCCTTGTACTCAGCAGCATGGAACCTCTGCATCACACTGTGGTAAATACAGAGACTGCATAGTCAACCTTGGGCCAGAGTTTCATGAGAAAGGAGTGCAGGGTGAAAGCAGAACTAGGTTGCACATGATTAATGGTTTTAGCGTTGCCTGTATGAGTGCTTGTGAGATCCTGCTGTGTGCACAGACGGCCAGCAGAAGCCAGGCAACATGTACTCGTGCTTAGTCAGGGCAGAGGCCAAGATGGAGTTTGTTTTGGGTGTCATCAAAGTTTTTTACTGTTTTTCATCCATTATTTGGACATTCCTTTAGATCATGAGAATCATTGATATATTCACATTTATCTATGCTCGTACCCTAGAGTTTTGCTCTGAATGCATAAACAAACTGCACATACTCCACATAGCTCATAGAGTAGATCATGGTCATCCAAATAATGGCCATGTCTGGCTGTACACTATAACAGCGTTATCTCAGCAAGGGTTGCCTCTCACTTGGTGCTTTAATATTCAGCTTGTACCTAGATAATGGACTTATGGACTGTTTATTAAAGTTTGATGTCTTACAGAAGTAATCTGGCCTGCAGTTCCACAGACAGACGGCAGGGTCTTTTTTAAATGATCAACCAAAATACTGTGGTCCGATTTCTTATCAGACATATCTTTTTTTCAGTTAATTTATGCATGCACACATTTGAATGTCAGTTTGTTTGCACACATGAGAAAAGAAATGCTTGGCTGAAAATTGTTATTGAGGTTGCTGCACACTAATAGCCTCATTGCTGACACCAGACCTTCATCGCAGCTATTGCACACTCTCGTGGCGCGTATTCGCTCTTGAGTTCTCTTGTTGGCTGCTCCACTGCCCTCCAGCCCCGGTATTGATCAGAAACCTGCGTCACAGGGAGTCAAAGCAGCACAGTTATTGAACCAGGAGAACAAGAAGAAAACAAACCCAAAAGGCAGATTGCACTGTCCTCACCTTGGAAAGGTGTTCCAGGTTCTTTGTATCGTCTGAAAAATCTCTCTTTTCAGATAATTGTTTTTCTTTATTAATTTTTTTAATAGTGACCCATGGGTTTTTTTAGACCCTCCAAAGAGATATAATCTGTTTAGTTCAGTTTTGATTAAAAACAGAAACATGTCTTGACAGGTCTGTGTGTGCAGATATGTAGAAACATACGTTTTTTTTTTCTTTAAGTCACCATGGTAACTGAGCTGCAGGTTTATTGTTCAGGTGTTTCATTTCATTTTGTCCTTGATATCTTCTCTGATATGTTGTACTGTTTTAGGTAATGAATGAATGGATGAACAGTGTTCATTTTTCCTTATGTCACTTTCTATGGCACCTCCATTTGCAGAATGTCTCTACAACATCTTCAAACCCTCCGAAGAGATTTATTTATCTAACCTCAAAAGTCATTGTTTCTTAAAAATCCAAAATGTGTTTCCTGTAGTTTATTTGTTTTATACAATAACCCACTATCATGTTCCTCAATTACATTTTGTGTCTACTGTACATAGGATACTAATGTCCTGAGGGGACTTCCCCACTGAATTCTCTATAGTAGTGGTTTCCAACCCCCCAAATAGCCAATATAATGTAAACCCCATCTCAATTTGCAGTGGCTCAGAGGGGACGAGTTGCTCATCTTTGTGGGACAATGCAGTCTACAATGAAGGGTACTTGGTGTCCTTGAAGAGCAAGCGTGTGTGTGTATGTGGCGGAGAGTGCTTTTCCTGGATGTTATCTTTGTGTATGCATGCGTACTACACAATCGGGCATTCCCTCTGACCTGGCAGCCCATTTCCCAGCTTTGGCCCCACATCACTATGGCAATGAAACAGGCACAGCACTAAACTTTACGTCCTAGATTCCAGTTTGTGGAAAAATCAACGTGGGGTTCACTGGGCTTTGCAGATCTGTTTTGTCTTGTATTGTAGTTTTTATAGCAATCCTGAATCCTGCAGAAAGACGGCTCGGCTTGGTGCAGTTGCCATGATAAGCACATCCTTCCTCCATCGTTTATTTTGTTCCTTCTGCTTTGGCAGATTTACAACCTGCCATTCCTGGTGTTACTTTGGTGAACATTTGTCTGTGCCACTCTCTCAGCAGCCGTTTCATCTTGTGTAAATTGGTGGCCCGTTGAATGGGATGAGGTTCTGGTTTGTTGTCATATTTGTCTTTGCTGTCTTAAATCTAGCAGTCAGCACAGAAAACACTGACGAAATTGAACAATTATCTGGAAGATGCTCTTTATTGATTTTGTAGATCCAAAAAAAAAGAAGAAAAAAAAAAAAGAAGCTGGACAGCGGCTGTGACCCCTACTGGTTAGAGGGGGCAACAGCATCTGTGGTTTTACAAGCTAATGATGCAGAAAAGCTGTTATTGATTTAGGATGAAGTGAGGATTCAGGTCTTATTAGATGGCTCTCTGAATATGTCCACTTTACCAATCAGAGGCTGTGCATAAACTGAACATTTACAACCTTTTTTGTTTATGCACAGTTGTTCTTCTACAAAGCTTTTGTTGTCTAGACGTTGTAGCCTCTTTGCATGCAAGAATGCCAGCGGCTGCACTACAGAAAGGATAAGGTCAATTGATTCCTCCTTCTCTGTACAGCCACAGTGCCTCTGCATTCACTGTTTTTTAATCAGATACCAGGTAATCAAGTATCAGTGTGTACTGTTGGTCCACCTGTTTACTCAATTTTAATGTTTTCTTCGACAGAAATCCAGCACTTCTGTCGACCTGTCCCAATATTGGTTTGGATAGATGAGGATTGTGTTTTACTGATGACGGAAAGAATGGGTGGACATCTGTGCAGTGCAGAAGAGTGGAGCTTTTAACATGCTATTTATAAGTATTTGCTTTTGCTGCATAACATCAAGAACTTTTATTTACCAGTGTGTGGGGAAACATAACAATAAGTGGTTGACCAAATGGTTTGTCAGTGGCTTTGCAGAATTTAGTAAGTGTGGTGATTTATTGTTATGTTTACACTTGATGATAAATGTGGTTATAATACAACAATGTTTAAGGTGTGTTTTTGAATTTAAGCTAGAATGTTTTTAATAGTGTAGAATATAACAAAATAAGGTAAACTGCCTTTAGCATGATAATATTTTTTTCTTTCTTTTGACATATTTCATACGTATGAAAATACATAAATACTATTTGTACCATTACTAATGTAACAAATTGCAGATATTTTCTATTTGTTATGTCAGGATGACTATTCAGTGATAACATCAATGTTGTTTTTATGAATAAGCCTGTGTAAATACTAAGTCTCAGCTACGTTGTTTATTGCCTACTTAAAAAAAAAGTTTAACAACATTTTTTTACTCTAATTAATTTAGTCATATACAAATACAATACAATACAAATGTTGAGCTACTACTTAACTTGGCTGGTCAAATGATATAGAATGGAGTTAGCTTATCTGTCATAGATAGTTTATCTGTAAGGCTAAACATAGACTGCTTTTAAAGGTATTTGTGTTTAAACTAAGATACCTTTTGACATCTACAGAGATGACTTGTCTTGTCTGCTCTGTAACGCACACAGATACACACTCGCATGCGTGACTAAAAACAAGTTGTGTCTTCTCTGCTCTCTGACAAATTTAGAAAGAACAGTTGCTCTCAGTCTCCCTCCTGAAGTATCTTGTGTGTGGTTGTGTGTCTAAAGTGCATTCCCGTCAGATTGGCGTGGTTTAAAAAAACAGGAATGAACAGTCAGTTTACAGTCAAACCCTCACTGTGTTTATGTTTTTGTGAGTCAGGATTTGAAGTCGTGCCCCTGGAACGACCCTTTCTCTGCTCAGCCACTCAATTTCATTAAATGGTGTGTCCTGTTAAGCTCGGTAGCAGCCAAAGCAAATGCAGATTGTGCACAAACAGAAGCAAACATGCAAGTCCCCAGAGGTTCTATGCCTTTCCTCCCCCTCCCTCACTCCCCCCTTCAGGCTGACAGCTTACATTGCAGGGATTGGTTCGGGGTACATGGTGGGCCAGTGTCACTAAGTAGCACGCCTATAGAAAGCAGGCTAGTCCTGCTTCAGTACAGTCCCCTTGGCCTAGTCTCGTAGTGGTTTTAAATATCCTTGTGCCCCCCCCTTTCCCTTTTGGCCACATGGACCCTCAGGGTTACTCAGGAGCAGAAAACCTTTTTAGCTGCAGACAGCAGTGTTGCCAGATCAGTCTACTACTACTACTATCACCCCCCCTTTGACCCTTCTGTGGTGGGTCCACTTCCACTCTTGGCTGTATGTGTACGAGTGTGTTCTTCAAACCACTTACTGTGGCTGTATTTCCACGCAGACAGACAAAATTCAGATACAGACACATTTAGAGTTGATTTAAATATAGTCTACTGACCATCTGCTGTAACTGATGAATGCCCTTGTGTCCTGTCCAGGTCAATTTAGAGTGTAGGTTTTTCCTGAGCAAATACTGAAAGATTTTATTTTCTTTTTTAGTGATTACAGCATCACAGAGAACCCTATTTGTTTTCAGCGCTGCTGACTCATTAAAAAATAAAATCCCATTTGATGCCTTCGACTTTTAGGCTTAGATTATAATTAAAAGGGTCCCAGTCGTAGCTATAAACGGTTTTAATTATTACAAATTAAGAAAAAACTGCAGAGTAGCTCTTTTTTCTTAGTCACATATCAAAGATTAAATAAAGTTAAA